TACCGGAACGTACCCTGGTCACTATTTGATATGGTTAGGGTTAGGATTAGGGTTAGGGTTAGGATTTAGACTCGTTAGTGGAGTAGGCGAGGTACGGTCCGGCATATTAGATAGTACCAGGCCCAGGGTACGTTCCAGTACACCGGACCGTACCCAGGGTACCTTCCGGCAGTACCCCGAGGGACATAGACCCTCTCAGCATTAATATGACATGCTTATATTTTATAAAGTGATTTTTTGGTGAAAAATAGCCACTTCTGGTGGTTTTGGAACAAAAAAGAACCGATTACTGACGGTGTATAACACCCTGCTGCAATTACGCAGGTGCTATTTAATACCATTCAGGTGCTGCTTTACGGCTGAGAAGACGAACTCGCGTGCGAAAGGCATCCCATTATGTTTTTGTAAACATCAGTTCTTGCATTATATTTCAAACAAAGTGTACAGTAATAATGTTAATAGCGTTAATAATGATGTCACACAGGTACTCGTTTATTAAATGTTGCTTTGTGAGTCAGACATTTTATAACTAGGGACACGTTGCTAATTACAGCAAACAACGAAACATACATTGTGCAACTGATGTTTACAATATAAAGCCTAAGTACCGTAGGTTAGTGCACTGCCAAACATTCCGACTACTGTGCGAATGTACACATCGTCAGGAATACTTGCCATAACAGAGGAAGCGAAGAATGGGTTTACCTGACTTGCTTTGACAAGCGTTTGTCCGCCTCCTGTGTTCCATGCTTCCTACCGCTGATGAAAGCCAAGCTGGGAAACCAGGACTTATCTGAAAGCACAAGTTCTTCGTTCCTACTACCAGTTTCGTCAGTCGCCGGCATAATTTATGTCTACCATGGTTCGAATACACACTACTGATTAATAGATCTGTTACCACACACGCGCACGCTAGCATGCATACGTCTGTTTCAGAGCAACAACATAATAACACTGTGCGTTGTATAACTTCCCATGCACGGAGTCTGAAAACCATGTTATTGCGCATACCACAGCAGAAAAGAAAACCTGCATGTGTTCAGTAGTCTACCCTGAGCGAATGCTGGTTTCAACTCGTTCTTTTTCACCACATAGATGTCTAACACCAGTTTACCGTTAGTCTGTCTTGTGTAGCAATGGTACTACCGTATATACTCGCGTAATAACCGCAAATTTGGCCTCAGATTTTAACCCTGTATTTGCTCTGCGGTTTATAAGTGCGCCATACCGTGAGGGGAAATATACTAGGCATTACCTGATTCAAATTGAGGTGCGGCTTATAGGAACACGCGGTTATTACGCGATCATATACGGTAGTCTACATTAGTAGTAAAGCAAACAGAAATGGACAGATAGATATTTATACACATTACACGTTTACAGTACACATTAAGCAGATATGTACACACAAAAATAATTAGCAGACTTAACAGGCCATTTCTGGCTTGGGTGCACGTGAGTATGCGAACTCATATCATTTATATCTCTATCAAATGCAGCATGAAAATACGGTGTTTTCATTAGGTCCATGCAGTGAGACATTGCACTGGGTTCCTGTGCATTTGTACCAAATTTCCTATATTTAGTGACCTTGACAAGATCCAACCAGCACAGTTCCATACCCTTTCCATTCCAGTTCCCTTTTAACAAGACTAAATATACTAAAAACAAGCTTATAATTAAGTGATAATTTAGCACAGACGTGTGAAAAACATGTATAAAGCAGTCAAGCTTGATCGACCCATCAGCAATATTCAAGTGGGTGCAGATATCTCAGTCAAATGGATATATAAACTGTAAAACGTATACAAACACGCAAACGAGTGCCTCCCCTGTTACCCACCCCTCAAGGAATTTTCCTCGTCTGTATCTAGGAGCTTCTTGGTGGGCGCCACCACCTCCTCGATGGTGACCGAGCGATTAGCATAGGTGGACGGGTCGGCCGAGCGCAGCGTGAAACCGGACACCCGCGATGTCGTTGTCTGCGAAACATCATCATCTACAGAGACAGTGGTCCAACACAACAGACACTAATCAGTGTATGAACACCATTCACTGCAGAGACACCACACATCTAACATCACGTCTAACATCTACTCTACCCAGACGTCATCCTTTATAGAGACATGTCACCTTAATTCTTGGACTATTTTCTTCGGATTTTACCAGACAACATTACAAATAATTATTATTTTAAGATGAATACAAGTAGATTGACTTGAGTAAATGAACGCCAGTTTCAAAAAATGTCGTTAACAGCTCAACACACACATATTTATCTTAAAATAAAAGTACTTTCTACGTTCCAATAATAACCTTGGCATAAACCTTATTCTCTACAAAGACAATGTTTATCAATTAGCCAGATACCAGATATAAAAACACTGATAACATTCCCATCTGCTGCACTGACCAATGACTCTAGGAAATAGTGACATATACTAACAGGAGGTAGTCTCATGACTATTACTATTAGATATTATAATATGGATAATTCATATAAACCACATTCGCTTGGCAAAAAATGCTATCGTGCGGTTATACAAATTTATACATTTTGTTGTCATATAGACACATTGACAAGTTAAATTACATGTCACTGCAGAATCTCAGGTAGCAATGGGTACCCATGACACTAACGTCATACTTCACCTGTCACTGCTGCATCTAAGGTTGCTGGGGCACCAAGACTACTAACATCAAATCTCAACTGTTACTCCTACATCTAAGGTTGCTGGGGACGCCCAGGCTACTAACATCAAATCTCACCTGCCACTCCTACATCTAAGGTCGTTGGTGACACCCACGTTGCCAACGACCTCGTCCGTCTGGGACCACGCCCTTCAGGAAACTGTTCGCCATTAGGAAACTGTGCGGCATCCTCACCTGCCAAGTTCTGCAGGGAGCGAGTTGACTGAAAACATACGTGGCTAATGCAAGACATACAGAAAGCAATAGACAATCAGAGTACATCACACAGCTTCCCTACCCATCCTGCAATTTATGTAAGCTTTCTCACCATGGCAAATAATCTGCCAAGGCCATAGGCATAGTCCATAGCCTAAGCAAATTCCTAGGGGTTAAGAAGAATGGATCAAATCTCGTGACACAACCTAGTAATAATGAGGGAATACTTATCAAGGGAAATCTTTTCAAAAAATAAACCAGGTGCACCATAGGGTTACTTTCTTCTGCTGGTAATTATTCTTATTTTATTGTTATTTACATCAGAGCTATATGTCACTTATACCAGCCAATCATTATAGGATAAATATACGTAGTTACGTACAAGACACATATCAACATCATATCAAGTAAATAAATATGCTCCACAGTCTAGAGTCAGTTGCCCCCTTTCACCCCCGCTCGTCCCGGGACGCATTTGACACGGGTCGT